ATATTTTTTGCATTATATATGTGTATAAACATATAAATAATTTTTGATTATTTTGTGATTAAAATTTAAAATTTTAAATGTTTTCATTTTTTATAAATTATTTTTGTTAAATTAAATTTTCTATTGAAGCATATTTTTTCGAAACAGTTATTAAAAAAAATAATTTACTACCAATTTAAAAAAAAACACCCATTAAATTTTGAAAGAAAAAAAAAACAAGAAAATATATAAATAAATAATAACATATATATATATAAAATACTTATATTTTTTAAAACAGTAAAATCTTATTTTTAAATTTATATATAATCATATAAAAGGCATATAATTATATAAGAATACAAAATACTTATGAATAATATAAATATATATATATATATAATATATATATACAAATATATATAATATATATATATATATATATATATATATATATATATATTTAATATTAATAAAAATACATTAAATTGTAAATAGAGCTAAGTTAATTTTTTTACTATTTTAATAAAATTATTACAAAAAAAAAATTAATTGAATATAATAATTTTAAAAATAATCTCTAGAATATGTAATAATAATTTTATTTATATCAAAAGAAATATTATAGTTATAATAAAATTGGTATATTATATAACAGTTGTTTTTTATGAAAAAAAAATTAAATTATTTTAAATAATTTTCAGTTATATTTTATTTTTTGTAATTATTTGACCGAATAACCCCTTATCACTAAACAATTAACTGGGCGCAAAATTATTGTCATACACAACATAATACTACGTATAAACTTAAGAGATAAAATTTGTAATAACGTAATATAATAAATTTAAATAAATACGACACAGAAATCAAAAATACTATATCGGTTAATTTGTGCTATGACCCACCTGCAAAAAAGGTAAGCGAATACAATTTTTACAAAAGTTTTCGAAAATTTTCGATATTAATTTTTTTCGAAACAAACAAACATAATTTAATTTTTGTGAAAATGTAAGAATTTAACAACATTTTAATCTGGTATTTTAATGTTTAAATGAAATATTTAAGGAATATTATCGATTAATTTTAGGATTTTCAGAATTTAATTTGAAAACTCTCTTATTTATATATAAATATATGAGAAATTTGTCAAAAAATATGGAAACGTTACGTATGTCTTCCGAAACATAGTGAAATTATTTCACATTTTTAATGAAATATTTATGTATTAGAAATGTTTAAAATGCACAAAAAAGAAGGCGAGAAATTTCATATCTACATACATATGTATACACATGCTTGTAGCACAAATTGACCTTAATTAGAATACCATAAAAAGTTTCCTTGGAGATGTCGTTGTATATCTTGTATATCTTTATTATAAATTATTTATAATAAAAATTTTTTTTTTTAAATTTTATAACCTCTGTTAACTACATTATAACTATGATTACTCATATACCTACCTACACACACAGATACATGTATAATAAAATTAATGCAAGCACCTAAACGCAAATCTAACGTCCATTTAATTTATTCAGCAATTAAAATTATATTGTTGTTATATGAGTATATCAAGTTGAAGAGATAATTTTTATTTAAAAAGAAGCCAATAAGCCATAACAAAGTTAATAGTTTTAAAATTATTGAAATTTGTGCTTTAGTATTAGTTATATGTTGTAGTTTTTCATACAGTTATCGTTTTTTCATTCTAATTAACTGTAAAACTTTATTTAAGATAAAGCATAAGCTTGGTAAATCAAAAGGTACGAAGTATAATCATCTGCTTTCTATTTATTATTTTATAAATTTAACATTATCTTGAAATTTGCTCAAGCATGCTCCTGCATTAAAAAGCTACCTTGACTTTTACAATGCAGTAATATGGTAACATTAAATAATTCAGCAATTTACACTTATAAGCTGAATTGTCTAATTGTTGGAAGTCAAAGCTTCTTTCTTTCAACATAAAAGAAAAAAAAAACAATTAAAAGGAACGGTTTCTAAAATATTTCTCGAGATTTTCTGCGATATAAATAAATTTTTCAAATTTTTTAATTTCCATAAAATACAAAATAAATATAATAAATATTATAAATAGTAATAACCAATAAAAAAAATAACAATAACACAACAACAACAGCCGAAAATGAAATACGATGTCTGTCAAAGAGAACACCAAACGTCTATTTGTCTTATTCAGTAATTAAAATTGTATTGCTTAATAAGTGATATTGATGTTACATGTCACATTTTAATAAATTTCTATATTATATTTTCTTTTTCGTAATAGTTTTATTATGTATTATTAAAACCTATAATAAAAATATCTGACTTCAAAGTTGCAATAACACCGTCGCGTATTATAACAAAATTTAGCAAATGAATTATATAATTATGCTGAATTATCTGTAGTTATATAACGGTATTACTTCAATTGTGAATTTCTATTTCTATTCGAATCGATTTTAATTTTATGACATTTTTAAAGCATAATATTTTATGTTATTAAATTAATTTTAAATATTATTCAATTATTTTTATTTATATATTATGTATTAATAAAAAATACTGTAAAATTATCTAGAACTTTGTTTTATTTAGTAATTTATATATATATATATATATATATATATATATATATTAATATAATTATAACTAAACATCAAAAGAAAAAATAAATAATGAAAAATTCAATATAATTAAAATAAAAAAAACAAATGAATATTAGTAAATTATTACAATACATTTAACAATTTTTTATAAGAGAAAAAAATTCTTTTTTTACATTTTTTAGCGACAAATAAATATTATATATATGTATATATATATATATTTATAAATTTAAAAATAAAATATAGAAAGCAAATAATTTTCGCAATTATTATAATTTTTAAATTAGACTGTAAAATACATAAAACAATTGTAGAAAAAAAATTACTATACTTATGTAAATGAACAAAAATTAATTAAAAATATGCAAAAACAAAAAATTAAACACACAATAAAAAGGTTAGATTATTTATTATATAATTAGTGATGCAACAATTATAAATAAAAAAGAAGAGTTATGTAAAAAAATGGTATTTATAAATAAAACAATTATAAAATAAACAAAAAAAAAAACAACTTTAAAATAAAATATTAAAAAAAAAATAGTTATTTGAAGATCTGAAAAGGATAAGATAAACAGATTTTTTAAAAATACAGGGCCTGAAAAATCATTAATAATTTTAAAAATAACAAAAAAAAAAAGTTATAAAGTAATTAAACGATTCAAAACACGAGAAAGATAAAAATTAATTGATTTGATAAATTATAGTAAAATTAAATGAAAAAAAAAAAACAAAAAACAGTACCGAAAATTATTAAATGTAAAAATAATAAATAAATAAAAAAAAACACAAAAAATTATATAAAAATTAAATTATAAATAAAAAAAAATTATTAAAAAATCGTATACTATTAATTGTTTTCATTATCCAAAAATTTAAGGTTATTACCCATATTTTAAATGAACCACTCTCTGACATATGAGTCTGACACTAAAATCTTTACTCAAGTGTTCACTTCTTGAAAAAAAAAACAAGAGACATTCTTTGAAAAACAAATATGTACGTTAGTGTTGCGATATTGATGACTTTTTCTTATATTATGGGAATTTGATCGAAAATTTGAAAAAGAGTAAAAAAGAATTTAACATATAAATATGGGATTTTTATCACTTATGAGAATTCACTAAATCGTAAGAGTTTTTAAAATGAAACAAACACATGCATAACAATTAACTTTGTTAATATGGCTGTTTCAGTACTTGACTATGTCAGCTTAAAAGCCCGAAAATGATATTTACCTAATACATTTCAAGTCAAGTAAGCAAAATCTTTTTATTGACTTGAGTGAAGCCAGTTTTCATGTCCAATAACGTTTATATGGACCTAGAATAAGGTTAAAGTACGCTTGAAGCTGTAATAGAAACGGTGTAAATGATTTGTCATAATATGCCATTATGTATTTTTTTAAAGTTTCATAAATATGGAAATATTTTTAGGAATTTTTTAATTGCTTTATGAGACAATTTAGATTAAACAATGTATTTTGAAAATTCAGAAATTATATGGAAATTTAAATATTGTAACACGAAGATATAATTTTACGACATACAAGACAGCATTTCCTATGACAAACGAATTTTAAAGATAGTTACGCATTTGATAATGATCTGTCAAATTATGCATAAACGGCGATTATCGGAAAATTTATTGAAAAAAAATTTTGTTTGACTTGACAAAAAAAGTACAATATACAAAGTTATATACAAAGTTAGCTTTATCTGTCATATTTCTCACGCTATATTAAATTGAGAAAATTAGATGATTTTTCAGAAATTCTAACTTAGAGGCCTTGTAATTCGGAAAAGAGAGTCTAAACAATAAAGTTGAGTTAGTTTTGATATAAACTTTGACGTTATCAAAAAATAACTCAGTTATTTTTTCTATTTTTACCTCGTGAGGGCATTTAATAAAATTGGGAAATTTTTTTTTGTATTGTGCATGATTCTAGTGAATATTACTATAATAATGAACTTGTTTAATTTCACTTTCTTACTTTCGTGCTGAATTTTCATTTATTTAGAATGGAAGTTACAGCTATATGAACAGTCCAATCAAAATTAAAATCAACTTTCCTATTACTGAATAAAATTAATATTAATTGACCATCTGTCATATAAGATGACTTATTAATATATTAATTCCACTTTGGAAGAATAAGAGTGAAAGCATTTTAGATACAAATATGTCTCAAAATTGGATACGTTTTTTCTTTACTGAGTGGAAACATTAGTCATGACTCAATCAATGTATAATCTATGTATATCACGTCTAACAGAATGTCAATTTTGTGATTTTTTGTAATGTCAAGATGTATATGCAAAAGTTATTTTCAATATAGTTTGCCATACGGGAACACCAAATTGATATTTAAAAAATAAATTTCAACGGCAGTACCTACTCAACTGACATTTGAACATGAAATATTAAAATTATTTACATTCTATTATAATTGCTTGATTTCAATTTTAAGCTATGCAAGCGGTATAATATTAGAAGTTTATACAACAATCAAGATAACTACATATTTACAATACTACACAGACAAATGGCATCCGAAGTAATAGGTCGTAAATTAAATGAACTAGAAATTTATGATTTAAGAAATGAACTAGCAAAACGGAAGCTTGATACATTTGGTTCAAGAAATGACTTGGTTGAAAGATTAAAAAGCGTATGCATTAAATTACATTTCAAGAAAATAATTTCAATATGCACTTTTTAAAATAAAATCTTTCAGGCTTTGATAGAAGAAGGAACTGATGCAGAAAAATTTGTTTTCATTTTATCAGATAAAACCGAAGATAAGATTTCAAACTTTTCAGAAGTTAACAAATTACCTGGCATAAATGGAATAGAAAATATCAAAACCGAAATCTTAGATATAGAGGATATGACAAATGTCGAAGTTAATGAAGAAGAGTTAGATACTTCTTACAATTTTCAATTTTATTATGAAGAGGATAATGAAGAGTCAATGAGTTCAAATAATGCAGAAGAATTGCAAAATTCTTTCAACGAAGAGGACGTGAGTACTATCTAAAATTGAGACCAATTTTAATAACATAATCATATTTATATTTTAGGATCAAGATGACAAAGAAAAAATTAAAAGTACGTATATTTTGCTTTTTAGGAGCTTTAATTAATTTTGTAATTGAAATATCCTTGGTAGACATTATAAACAAAATTGATGTCGGTCGAAAAAAATCAAGAACGAAAATTGTGAGCAACAAAAGACAAATAGCTCGTCTAGTCGAACTGATGAAACAAAATTTGGATATTGGAAGAGGACTCATTTCTAGGCCTAATGCAAAGAAAAGGTGGGAAAGATTCACTGTAGAACTAAATAGTTTGGGCCCACCTAAACGAAATTCTGAAAAGTGGCAGCGTGTGAGTTTATTGCATCTCTATCATTTTATGATTTTTTTTACAAAACCATTTTTAGGTTTGGAGTGATTTAAAAAGGAAAGTAAAAAGAAAGCTAAATGATAATAAGGAAGAATTAATGACAAATTGTGGTGAATTGAATAACTGCTATCAGTTTTCTAAGACGGAAGAAGACGTCATAAATATTTTACAGCTACAAGTTTGGGTCAATCCTTCTGGCGAAATATTTGGATTAGATAACAAAGATACTGGGAAAACAAGTATTGCAGAAGAACCTGAAAATGTTACAGAATTTATTAATATTGCAAATAACACAGAATCTGTACTTGAGGAACCAGAGACTGAAAGTGAAGCTGAACGAAAAAAAGAAATGTAAGTGTATTTATATTTGCTTTAACGCAAGAACTACGGAAACAACCAATTAATAGTATTAATTGATCACAAGGTTTTCTTTGAAAGAATTGCTTTTCAAATTTTTAATATTAATTAATCCAATAAATGAAATTTTAGCACAAAAGTAGTGAGTAACAAAAGACAGCTGGTACGTCTAGTCGAATTAATGGAAGAAAATTTAGATATTGGAAGAGGAATTATATTAAAAGCTAGTGCGAAAAAAAAATGGGAAGAATTTGCAGTAGAACTAAACAGCTTAGGACCACCGCAGCGCAATTATGAAAAATGGCAGCGAGTATGTATAATTTCATACCCTTGTTCAAGATTTTGGTTCAAAAAATTTTTTTAGGTCTGGAATGATTTAAAATTTAAAGTTAAGAAAAAAATCAATGATAATAAAGATGAACTTAACGGAAGTAACTGTGGATCAAGCAAAAGTCATAAATATTCCGAAACAGAGCAAGCGATTATTAATATATTACAATTAAATCCTTGGTCAAATTCAACGATGGATATACCAAGTTCAAATGACGAACAAAAAATTCCAATCAGTGTTTTAGATCAAACCGAAAATGCATCCGAATCAAATAATTTTAATGCAATTAGTACAGAATCGGTAAATGAAAAATTTGAATTTTTACCGGAAAATTCAAAAGTGGAAAGGTCAAGACATAGGAAGAGACATAAAACGCAAATTGATCAACGATTATACTTACTAAAACAGCAAACCGATTCACAAAAGTTATACCAAAATGGTATGTTAAGCATCTTGGAAAATATACAAAAGGATTTACACTCTATTGAAGAATGTATAAGAGAAAGTTACTATGAAAATATAAAGTATAAAAAACGTAAGCTAGAATTAAAACAGAGAAAATTAGATCTTTTGGAACAAGAAATAAAAAACAAGGAAAAATATAGAAAAAACCAAGAACTCTATAGAGAAGCGAAATTAGAAATGAAAGAAAAAAAATTTACTTTGGTGAAAAATTATTCACTACATCAACATAACTTGTGATATTATTTCTTAAAAATATCCGTACACTGTAGATATATACACTAGCATGTGCATAAGTTTATCTTTTGTTTTAATTTCTATGTAGTATGCATTTATTTTTATGTTCGTTATTTTTGGCTTTGTGAAATTACAAAAATTATGTGTGTTTGTGAAAAGCTGTTTAATTATTTTTAATGAGATCAACAAAATATTTAAAATAAATCATGCAAGTAGCGACAAATAAACTAGACTGTATACATTATATTGACAAAATATAGAATTTCTGAATTAAAAGTAAATAAAATCTTCGTAAAACATATTATTATGTAGTTACACACACAGATAGCGCTCATTTCGATTATCTATTGCAGCGCTTTTTATGATTCAATGGTACTTGGAACTAACACAGTTCCTTAAAATGGTTTGAGCCCAAAATAAAATAAATTCAAATTTCAATTGTTTTTTTTTACTTGTAATTGATTGTATATTGCCTTTCCATAAATCCAAGCTCACGAATCACTATTAACTTAGTAATTTGAAAACTGTTTATTAAAGTGGAATATAAAATCAAAATTGTGAAAAGTTTGAATGAAAAGATTGATTTTGCTGATATTTTCGAAAGAATTTTTGTTTCTCGCATTTCTTACTAACTTTTTATTCACTTTCAAATGAGAATTTTTCGTTTTTCTAATGGATATTTAATTTTTCCAATAAGACAATTCATTTTTTCATTCTGATTTTTAAATTTTTTCTCAAATTATCGATTTTAAAAATAAAGTGAATAAATTTTTTATACATTTTAGAAAAAAAACCAGATACCTATGCTATATGAAATAATTCATTTCACCTGAAAATTCCATTATACAAGTATTATGATAATTACTCATTTTCCTCTCACTTTTCGAGTAAAATAACGAGATAGACGATCAGACCCTAAACGTTTTAAATAGCTTTTAATTGTAATTAATTTGTCAGTTTTCGAGTTTTCCATGTGATTATGTATTTGATTGTAAAAGAAAACCGTAATCTTAATATGTAAACAAAAAATTACCCAGCTGCAAAATGTCTATAGAAAAAAAAAAAATTTCAAATTAAGAGTGTGCGATCTTAAAAATTAACTTAAGAAACGAAAACTAAGTTGCCCCCGCTTTTGAAACGTGTATTAATTGAAAGACCACAAAATGTGTGTATGAATTTATTTACAACTTATGATAAAAAAATCTTATATCCACATACATACATGAATGCGCTTTAAAAGAAGAAGGATAAGATTCGGAAAAATTTCTTTTTCACCGGGTAGGTAAAAGGAAGATGCGTAATGTAAAATTTACAGAAAACGAATCTAAAAAAAAACACATTCATAACGAATGAAATCAAAAATAAAGAGGAAAAAACTTTAATTTCCTGTAGTATTAAACTAGAAATTGAAGACAAAGTAAATAGAAATGAAAACGAGAATAAAGACCCAATATATTTTATTATGGAAGATAAACAGACGATACCGTATCAAAATGAGGTGGGTAGTGAAATACATATGTACATACTTATATACATACTTATATACGTATACCTACTCATATTTTTTAATTAAAAAATTTATTTTTTAATTAAAATCAAAATTAATTTTTATGATAATAACGAAAATATCAAGGGTATACCTAATTTTGAATAAAAATTAATTAAAATTTTATTAAAAGGTTTTTGTTAGGTGCAATAAATTACATTGGCAACATCAACAAAAATATTGACTCTAAAAAACTAACCGAAAACAAGAACGAAAGTAACGAAAAAGATAAATGTAACATCAATTTTAAAGAAGCCAATTCAGAAAATGAGATTTGGATTTAAAAAACATTAAGAATTTTTGAAAGAATGTTGAAGGAGCTTCACCAAAAAAGAAAGGTATAGGGACCTACATGCTTATAATTAGCTACAATTACTATATTAAAATTGGATTATATTAGAAAAATTACATTTTTGTAGAATTATCTAATTAAATTTTCTAATTAATTCTAATTAAATATCAAAGACATTTCTCTTTCAATATAATTTTAACTAGCAACTTTGAAGCCTCAACTTCGTGGGATTCTCACATTCTTGGATAAGCATTTATAATGCATATATCTTCTGTAAAAAATATACGATAACAAATTCTTTATAAGCCAGCTAGGATGGCGGACTTAATGCTCAATCATGTTATTTTTAATGGAATCATAGAAGATGAATTAAAAACAACTGAGTTTTAAAAAAGAGTTAGAGAACAAAGTGAACGTTATAGGTCACATTCAATAGAAATAGAATTACGGAAGCATGAAAGACGAATCATAGAAATACGTCGCTGGCAAAGAGAAAATCATTTAGCAAGGAACAGAGAACAATTAGCACGGGAACGTCAAAGATTAGAAAATTATAAATTAAATCGAATAAAAATGAACAGAAGAAAATATGAGCATGAACAAATCGCATGGGAGCGGCTTAAGCTCCAAAGGCAACGGTTTAAGTATGAAATTTAGCACAAATTTTTCTATATTCACCATTTATGTAAATTATTAAGATGAGTATCAAACATCCTCTTATCGGATATGCCATTTTTTTATGGTAGAAAATATCCGTTCGCATTGCAAACTTTTATATCAATATTAATTTTATAGCTTCTATTGCTAATTTATTGATATTATTAAATTAGTATGTACCAATAAATTATTAGAAAACGGTTGACTTAATAAATTACGATTTTGATCTGCTCGAACAGCAGCGATTTCTCTTCAAACCTGTCAAGTGATATTGTAGCTCTATCAACTGGAATGAGATATTATGTGTCATTTCATCATTTACGTTACAATAGTCAAGACGACGCGGATAACAAAGGCTTTCAAAATATGCAGTACAATACAAGCAATTTGTGGTATAATATAAATTAATTTGTTTATCATTCAAACTTAATTTAGCTAGGCATTATATGTATATTAGATTAATATATTTTACAAAAATGTACGTGTTATTTATCTAATTTATTAATGGTTTCATATAATGCTATACTTACAATTATTCAATCAGAGAAACGCACTGCCTAAAGTAATCCTTCAATTTAAGTTTCATTTTGCCCATGTATTAGGATTATACTTGATCACATATATTTTTTAAAAATAAACTTCATACTTAATATCTTCAATATATTTCTGCTTTTTAGTATGGCCCCTGGCATGTTGACAATTACCAAACTGTTAAATCATTGTGTGATTTGAATAAAAAGTGGCAGACAAATTGGTAATGCAGAATAGTTTCAACAGAAATAAAATAAACGGGAAATTTACCAAATTCAAAGTTCAAAAAATTCAGTAATCTAATTAGGAACTAGAGCCATATAACGATTGAATTCCGTTAAAACAGAAGTTGAAAAATTTTTTTTAAGTTTTTTTTAATATTTAAATGTTAAGACACACACCAATATGTACATATTATGTACTTATATTAAATAAATAACTACACTGATATAATTTTGTTTTAGTACGCTTGTTTTCTTGAAAAAAAGTGCTATTTAAATTAGTATTTTTGAATTCCAAATCGAAGAATATTTATAATTAAAATTAAGTCTCATTATGTATCTCAATTTTTCAACACGAGTGAAAAATGTAACTTGTTAATAGTTAAATATAAAAAAAGGAATCTTTTAAAATTTTGCAACTCAAATTCTCATAATATGACTATGAGAATCTTTATATGATTACGACCACTGTTTCATAAATGGTTGACATTACGTTTCATTTCCTTACCGATAAAGCCACTTAGCAATAGAATGAAAAATTTAATGTCAACAATCATTGACGAAATAGTCGCCGTGTAAACATGGTGATTAATAGTTTGCCTTTCTTTACATTTAAATACCTGATTTATATGGCAGCTTAAGTACTTGACTTGAAATCAGCTTGAAACTCAAGCTGCGTTTTAATTATGTCGCCACGGCTGACGGCAATACGGATTTTTTTTATTGTCAAGGTACATACTAATAATTGTAAAAAAAAATACAAAATCTAATCTAAAGTAATATTTTCATGGATCACAGCTGACAGGAACACAAAGCTGAATTCAAAGACACTCGTTAAGTATAATTAGAGTAGCGCTCAGTGCGTAGGATACGTAGGTACGCATATGCGAATAAGGTAACCGAATCGAACACACGGCATAGTGTGACGTTTATGTTCAAAAACTTGTTAAATGTAATTTCATATGTAATCTTTTGTTAATATTTAAGTTCCCAAAAATCAAAATTACTTCCCAAAAATAGTTTATATTTTTAAATTTTAAGTTCGCACTTTACATAATATGTGAATTGTCAATAAGCAGATAATTTGACATTAGCAAAAAAACAATCATAAAAGTAAAAATAATTTGTACCTACGTGTTGTCAAAATCAAAAATTTCAATACCTTGCGTAGCTGCGCATTTAGTTTAGGCTATTTGATTTAAAATGTATGGGTATGAAAACATTTTGGCACAAGCACTACGCGCCCTTTGGGATTGATTTCTAAATCATAATTCGCTGGCAAAACTGTGATACCACGTAAGTGCAAATATTTCCAAAAGTACTTTATCAATTTTCTGTTGTTCTTCAAATTTTAAATTTACGAAACAATAAAAACTAATAAATAATTATATATTTTTTAAATAATTTTCATATTTTCATAAATTCAAAAGATGGATTATTTGACATTTCCTAAACAGAAAATTGGTAAAGTACTTTTGGAAATATTTGCACTTACGTGGTATCACAGTTCTGCCAGCGAATTGAAGTATGAGAAATATCTGTTGCCACTTAGTTGTTTCAATATTCCAAAATTTAATAATTTTGCCACGGAAATTATCGTTATAGTAATGAAAAAATAATCAATGGAAAAATTGACATATAAAAATGAAAATTTAGGTATATTTGTTTTGAAAGATATATATTTCAAGGATTTTATTTAGCTTCATTTGAATTGAAAAATAAAAAGGAAATGTAAAAAATTAACCTCTTTAGATCGAGAAATACTTAGATTGCTTAAAAAACTATGATAATACTATGTATGTCACCCAACACCTGTCATCTAGAAAAACATTCACATTTTCTCTATTTGTCTATGCATTTGCTGACAAAACTTAATGACTTGACTATGCATAACACGGCAGTACTAAAGACGTACGGTAAGTCTTATACATTTGATGACTAATTTTAATTTAATAATTTATTAACCAGGTTAAAATTGGAAAGAACCCATAAAAAAAGTTATTGAAATTAAAAAAAAAAAGTGTAAGATATGTCTTCGGAAACTTTGGGCCGGAAGATAAGTGAGTTAAGAGCTTGTGATTTAAAGGACGAATTGGCCAAGCGTAAATTGAATTGTAATGGTTTAAAAAATGAACTTATTGAAAGATTACAGAATGTAAGGATTTTTATTTCTGGGTAGCCATTTTGAAATTTTTAAATTAATGGAATAAAAAATTTTAGGCAATAAAAGATGAAGGAAAAGACCCCGAAAAATTTCTATTTCCATTACTTGATAAAAGGGGAACTAAAAATTTGAAGAAAACAGAGGAAACTGAAATACAGTTGAGTATTTCAGCGGAAGAAGCTTCAGCACCGGAGGAAAGTGAAGAAAAAAACGAAAGTGTGGTTGTGGATGAGGTTGGTAGCGTTGATGGAGATGAAAATGATTTTCAAGAACAAGTTGATGCTGCAATTGAAAATACAAATGACAATGAAGAATCAATTAATTTGACAATTGGTGAAGATGAACAAAAACTGCTTCACGAGGAAGAGGTACTTAAAGCTTTTATTACTTTTCTGTGTTTCGAAATTCAAAAAAATTTCATTTTAATTAGATAACTATGGGTTGTTATTTTCCTTTAAATTATGTCAATAAAAATGCGTTTAGTAGGTATCAATATATTAATCGATAATTTGTATTTCAGGAACAAGATGAAAAAGAAAAGCCTAAGGGTAAATATTTGGAACTTTTTTATTTTAAAATATATTTTACCTATATGTATGTCTTAAATTTTGCGACTGCTTAAAAATTAGGTGCCAGTATTGAAAATTCAACAAAAGGTGAAAAGCTAAAGGAACAAGAATCTAATGCAGAATCTAAAATCAAAACTGAAGAAAAGGATCAAGAGTCTCAAAAGGAAGCGCATAATGGAAATGATGAAAAGAGTCAAGAGAAAAAAAGTGAAAGGTACCTATGAATGATTGTCCTGTTTTTCCAAATTCTTACCTAAAATTTAATTTAATTTATAGTGAAAACAAGGTTCAACAAACTAATCAAGAAAAAGGTAAATTTAAATATATACGAAAAACAACAATATGAATTAGAGTAAGTTATTTATAATCATATTCGATTACTTAAACTATTATTACGTTAGCGCGGCACTATATGATTTTGGAATCTGTAAAGTGATTTTTTTTTCACTTATACATAATTTCTTTTCACAACTATAGCAGCAAAATTATTAAATATAATAAAAATGTTCATGCATAAACACCAAAATTTTTTACAATACGATTTATTAACTTGTAAGTAGGAGCCTCCTACCTACTTCAAACGGAAATTTTCTATAAAGCTTTTTATTTTTATAAATTTTCTATATGAAAATTTACTTATCAGCAACTCGTTTTTATGAAAACTTTGGATAAGTGCATGCCAGCATCAGTGGTTTCGTAAAATTACTATGAAGTTTCAACATAAAATAAACTTATTCTCAATAATTAGCAATATTTCAACTAAAGAAAACCTATTTTACAAATTTAAGTACAACACTAGTCTGTAATGTGGAATAATGTGATATAAGCATGTGATTCATGGAGATTTGATTTTCAATCATTAAAGCTATTGGAAAAAGAAACGCGGACATGCCTTAAAGATACAGGAAATTAATTAAAATACAAATTTGTTTAGCCATTTTTCAATTGAACAACCAAGGGGTATATGTAATATCAAATATCTTCACTAGTAAACCCATCTATCAAAAACAGAAAATTGAAATCCAAGTGCAGTTAATGTATTAGCCATCCAGTCAGCTGATATTTTATTGAATAATATTGCAGGACATTAACTTGATGATTTAGGAAGATAGCAGTAGTTAACAAAAGGTCTTTATTTTTTTACGAAAAATCGGAAATACGTCATCACAATATTAATTTTGGTTTTACCAATTTTTTGCAACATATGCGGCATCTAATTGTTAAATTAAAATCTATGAAGGAGTGAAGAGGTAACAAACGCATCGGGCAGATTGCAATTTAACTCAATCAACATTTAAAAACAATCGAATTAAACAGAATAATATTTAATATGATTTTCATCAAACAGCATTTAAATATTTGTAATGATACAAAATGAGGCGATTTATAAAAATTTAAACGATATGTTTCTCTTATTTTGTCCAGCCGGATTGACTATTGGATTTTAAAGAATAATAACTAAAGTTGTATTGTTTTCTTTATTGAAATATTGCTATAAATTAAAATAAAATATTACTTTCTGAGATTCCAAAATTCATATAAAAGTTTTGTATTACCTTTTTTCACATCGGAGGTTATGAATTTGCTCATCGATGGTATAAATAAATAAATAAGTGACAAGTGTAAATTTTTAATAACTTGAAACGCTTTTTACCAAAAACAAAAAAAAACCTATATATACATAATTGTAAAATTAAAAATTAAAATTCTTTCCGCCCGCTTTTATAAAAAATTGCAGAGAAAACAGCAGAATCAAAGATAGCAGAAAATAAGACAACGGCATCCACAACTTCAGCAGCAAAGTCACATCGCAACTTGTGGGTATCTGGTTTGACATCAATAACAAGAGCTAGCGATTTGAAGTCAATATTTTCAAAATATGGTAAAGTCATTGGAGCAAAGGTTGTTACAAATACTCGGACACCGGGCAGTCGCTGTTACGGTTATGTTACTATGGGCTCTTCATCCGAAGCAACCCGCTGCATCGAACATTTGCATGGCACAGAACTTCATGGCCGCATCATATCTGTGGAACGTACGAAAAATGAAATTGGTGGTAATAAAGCTGCACATCAACGCAAGGAAGAAGAAAAACAACGGCGTCCGTCGAAAGAGTCTAAGCGCAAAATAGAAAATGACACTTCGGTTAAAAACTCTGATGACAGAAATAAAGATGGCAAATCAAAAAAAACGGAAAAGGAAACATCGAAAGATCAAGATCCAGAACAAGTTAAAAGTACAAAAATCGACAAGAAATCACCAACGAAAGAAAGTGTCAATGACAAGAAGATTGAAGAAAAAGATACCAGACATCGTTCTGTAAAGAGCAGTAGCAGAACTTCTTTGGAACGTAAGAAATCTCGCGATCGTAGAATAGCAGAAGAAAGGGAACGTGAAAGGCGCGCAAGAGAAAGACGGGAACGTGAGATATTATCATTCAAAAAAATTCGTGAAGAACGTGAACGTCAGAGACTACGTGAAAAGGAGAGGGAACTAAGAGAAGAAGAAAGACGTCGCCGAGAGATACGTCGCCGTCAACGGGAAGAAGAAGATCGTTTAGTAAGAGAAAGGGAAAAGCTAGCTCTAGAACGTGAAAGATTAGAACGGGAGAAAGCTGAGTTACTGCGCTTAGAAAGAGAGAGACAAAAATTGGAACGTGAAAAAATTGAATTGGAACGCCTTGAGTTGAAAAGGCAACAAATGAAGTATGATCAACATAAATCAAATATATTTATTTTTATTTTTATATAAAAAAATTAATTTTCAAAATTGAATTTAAATGCATTACGTGTAATTACGTTTATATATACGTGTATATCATATACACGCATATATTGTAACGAATTGATATGTAAATATATGTATATGTATATAAGTACATATATGCATGTGTAATAACGTCTGTATGTATAGATATACATATATGTATATATTAATTCAGTGATATATGTTTATAAATTATATGATTACAAAAATGTGTATCAATAGTAGGCAAAACGTTCATATGAAAAGAAAACAGAGCTGACTTGCAAGTCACTTGAATGGTGATTGGTTTTTGAACCTATCATTTGATTTTAATTTAGATGTAATATTTACAATAAAAATAAGTTTATTTAAAAAAAAATTGGCACTAAAAATAAAAGTTTTTGTTTTTTTAAACCAGAATTATGGAGCAAAACTCTCGTATTGAGGATAAGAGGCCAGTGAAAAGAACATCTGATGATAGGTATGGGGAAATAGATAGAAAGCGTTCAACAAATGACAGACGATTTGAGGCTCCTCCACCTCCAAGATTTGATTCCTCATTAGCAACGAACAGGTAAATATTGTAACCGAAAACTTATTAAAGATAAAGATGACAAGTGTTCATTGCAACTTAGGAAAGCTACTAATACCACATCCAAATTACGTATAATTGTTGTAAATTTTTACTTATTTTGCAAATTCATAATAATTATTAATAACACATTATCTTAATACAAGGCGGTCGATTTAAATTTTCAGGCTTAAAGAATGTTAGCAATACCAAAAAATAATTTGCAATTTACGATCTATAATCTAATGCGTGGTATGGATATTAAAAAATTTTCTAAATTTCCTAAATTTTAGCTATGATCGTTCTGATAAAAAGAGAGACGATTATGGTAGTAATAGTAAACGTGATGATTATGTTTCTTCAAAACGTGACGATTACATCGGCTCCAAGAGGGATGAATATTCAAAGCGAGAGGATTATTCATCTAAAAGATCTTCTGACATTGTTGTACCCCCACCACCTCCAAGACATTCTTCTGGATATCACTCGAGTCACGGGGGTCGAGAAACTCATGGTGCTAGTCACAAAACTTCAAGATATATTGAATCAGAAGTTAGACCAATAAGTTACAGAGCAGGTCGCTCCCCAGACAGAAATGATCCAAGGTAATTTTTTAATAACAATTTGTTTGGAGTAAATGAGTATTCAATTTAAGCTAAAATAATAATTCTTTGAATGTTATTTTCAGAACCACGAGTAATAAACGATATGATGTTTCATCCTCATATTCGGAAAGGACAAATAGTACTACAGCTTCCATTTCAGGTACAGCACCATGGCATTCTGGTAACAATCAACCCATAAAATCATTCGCTAGTAGTTCTATGCCAACTAGTAGTAATGTTGGTGTCTGGCCAAATAAATCCAATGAAGATCATTGGGGTAGACCCATAGACGCACAAGATCGTTATGATAGAACATATAACGAACGAGTCGGATATGGTGTAGAAAGTCCACGAAGTGCGGCCATGTTTGGGGGTAGGCCAGACAGTCGATATAGTGGCCAAATCTCATCAAGATATGAAAATGGAAAATATTAAATACTAAATAAATATGTATTAACATCACTAAATTTGGTCTTCTACTTCTGTGTATACATATGTATTATGTGTATTAATAAAATGTATTTAATAGCTTAAATTTTTGTAAAATATTTGAGTTATTATTTACAGTTTTTAAGTTTTTGACCTTTTATTAGATGTTCACTTATATTAGACTTTAATTTTTCTTTTAGCGATATATGGTTAGATATTAAATCAAATTTGATCTTAAATTTTTAGTACAGATATTTTGTTTCTGTATTAGCACTTTTATAATTAAAAATAAAAAAAAATATATTTCAAATAAAAACTAAAATTAAATGACAAATCTGTCTATAATTTTTAACAATGGAGCTGGGGAAAAAAATACAAAATTTCAGGTATTATATTATAAAAAAAAGGTTATTATTCCATTTGACTATTTTTAGAGAGACTATTTTAGAAATTCAGGGTGAAAACGGGAATGTTATATGGAACTACTTACATTTAAAAATTTTATATGCTTCATGAAAAATTTCGCAATTCGTGTTGCTGTGCCCTAATTACAAATATGCAATACATGCTTTTCAATTTTTAGAATTATTCTACAAATAAAAATTAGAACAAGAAATGTCTCGGGAAAAATACATTTTGGGTTGAAAAACTTTTCTGAAGAGGATTCCATGTGGTTCCTCGAAAGAGTCCTCGAAAAGAGTTTGAAAAATTAACGTTATATTAGACTTTAAAAATTTTGTGTTTCAGAAACCCTTAAGATATGAAATAAAGCTTCAAACTTTTAAATCTTTTTTAATATAAAAATTTTAGTCATTTTCAATATTATAAAAAATGGAGTAATGTCGGTTTTCGAAATTTCCCCCTCTGCTGTTCCAAACAAAAATTTAATTTATTTTCAATGCTCTGAATAATTGTACATTTTTTGGCTGCTATTATTGAATCACCTTGCAGTGATATGCAATTTTGTTTCGGTTAACATTTTTTTGTTAAATTTTCAGGTTAAAAAATTCTGCATATGTATAACAAATGCATAATATAAAGAATTTTACAGGCACAGTACAGTTAGCATATTTTGCAAGCAAATCTTATAATATTTTTTAAAGGTTATCATAGATGTAACTAATAAAATTTTAACTGTTTGGTGTTGAGATAAAATTAACTTAAAATAGGCAGGTACTAAGGTATTTTTCGCAATGAGAATCATATAAAATAAAAATAAGAAAAGAAGAAAAAATACTTATTTTATTTTAAAATTCATTTACTTTTAAAAAAATATATTTTGAAAATTTTATTACAAAATAAAAAAAAATATAGTAAAAAATAAAAAAAAAAATAAAAATTATTTATAAAAATTTTTTTTTATAAAAGTTTTGTTAAAATTAACTTGAAAATAAAACAAAACATTATAAATAGGCTTAAAAAAAAATTAACATAAAACATTTCTATAATCAAATCTTGGTTATACATACATAATAGTTAAAAACATAATAATAATAAACGATAATACATTTTTTCTATTATTTATAAATTGTAAGATGAAAAATTACTAAGATTTCCTATTTGAATTAAAAATTTTTATATAGGAAATAAAAAGTATTTATTATTACAAATACAATATCCAAGAATAAAATGTTTTAATAATTAAGATTTTTCATTCTATAATGTAAATACGTATTATGTACTCTGCAATTGCATAATTATAAGTTTAACTAATTTCAAAAAATTAAGGAATAATGTTACTTTTTGCCTTAGCATTAATTCGGATGAACTATTGTTCGAATATGAAGTTGATTAATTAATTAAATATGAATACCTATATTATATTGTGTTGAATGTTAAATGATATAGGTACCAGCAGTTTCACTAAAAATTGTAAATTTTAATAATTGAAAGTTAATATTAGTTATTTTTGTTCTCATATGTTAAAAAAATATATTCCTACTGTGTTCATATTATTAACACTAATCATACCAAGACTTAATATATACCTATTTCTACCATAGCGGGTCAAATGACCCGTTGTGGTAGATATCGGTATACAACAAGAATTACTCAGAATAAACAAAACAAAACAAACAAAAAAAAATGTTATAACTGTACATTAATTACTTAGAAAAAGTCATGAAGTCAAATGTGCAAACGCAATAAAATTATACGTGCATTTTCAATGCAAAAGTTCAAAATGGGTCATTTGACCCGTTATGGTATGTTTAGTGTTAATAAATGGACGAAAATTTGGTAATTATAAAAGTTATTAAGATATTTAATTATTAAATCGATACTCGTATAATAGATTTTACAACAATAAATAGACAAGGAATTTGTGGCCAAAGCGGGATTTACGTCGCACAAGGGATCTGATCTCTCTCAGAAGGGAGGATATCAGTGCTGTGGTAGGGGTAATGACGGGCCATTGTCTGATCGGCGAACATGGAAGGAGAATGGGCCGCCCCGCAAACGATCTTTGTAGGAGTTGCTGTGACGAGGGGGAGGAGGAAACGGTGCCAGCACTTTCTATGCTCATGTCCGGCACTGGCGAACTCCTAGCAGAAATTCCTTGGGTCTTACTTCTTCGGGCACGCTACGGACTTAGCGGATGTAAGCGTTAGGAATTTGAACCGATTTCTAAAGGGTTCGGGATGGTTCATATAGGCCTAGTTGACCTATGTGTACCCTTCGGAGAGCCGCAACCTAACCTAACCTAAATATTCGTTTATTTATTGATTTCTTTTTTGGGTTTCAGTATTTGAAAGTTCAACATTTCAGTATTTTAGCAATAGCATTACTTTTGAAAAAAAAACTCATTTTAAGGAACTAATATAAAATTTTATAATTCATTTTAGAATTCATTACATATAGCTCAACTTCTTAATAAAAAAAAAATTACATTTATGTAATTCATTTATACATATAGTTTCCGGCCTATCATTTATAAAAGATCATTCGACTTATTTTTTTTTTTTAATTATTATGTGGTGACAGTACGTAATTTGTTTCACGTAACTTATTCAGAATGCGATGTTTTGAATTTCTTAAAAACTGGTGGTAGCACGTAGCTTTGTTTTGAGCATTTTTCAAGTCGTTTCGTTGTTTTCATTTTGTTTCGAATATTTTTGATAGTAGATATAAAGATTGTGTTCCAATACTTTTTTTCAAGTTGTTTCAAAAGAATTTGTACGATAACAAGTAAATGATCGGTAAAAAAAAAATTTTAGTAAGTCAAATTTTTTTTTAACAAATAATGAAATTTAGTGTTAGACAAAAAATTATAACTATAAAAGAAAAATAGTGATGAATAGATAAAAATGATTCTAAGAACAATTTTTGGCTTTTCAACAAGGGCTGATTACACGAATGCATTATTACAGTTTTAAAACCAAAAAATAAACCCAAATAGATATGAAACAAAATTTTTTTTATATAAAAAATTTTATTTCGTTATTGTTATTTGTTCGAAACGATACATACACACAAGTGCTACCATTGAATTTTTGTTTCGAATTTATTTTGTTTCGAATAGTTCAATTCAAAATCAGTTACATGCTACCACTACTATTTAATTCAACAAAATTATTCTTGGATAAAGAAGTTATAAAATTTAATTTTATACATATTATAATACATTATGTACACATATATATATATATATATATATATATATATATGTATATTAAATTAGTTTTAAAGGAATTTTCTCTACTAAATGGCAGTTAATCATTTAGTCTTTTTATACTTATACATAATATTAATTATTATTATCAAATTATAGGAATTTTAACTTTTTTTTTTTGATTTTAAAAGTTTTGATTATTTTATTCACATTTTATAAATATTACAAATATATTTATACACATACATACATTTCTGTATTTTCATATTATATAAAAAAAATTCAATTTATTTTTTTTTTTTTCAATTTTATTAATTATTGTGTATCTGTATAGATATTTCGTTATACTCGTATAGTAACAAAACTTTTTTTATTTAATTATTTTTAAATTGAAAAATTTTATCACTATAATCAAGTAAAATTTTATTTATTTATTTATTTTTTTAATAAGGACTTTTTGTTTTTTTATATTTATAATATATTCAAATTTATTTAATATAATAATAATTATCCTTAAATGGCAAGATAATACTAAAAACAAAATTATTATACTATGAATTTTTAATAATTAATAATAATTAAAAAAAAAAAAAAACAAAGCCTTTTGAAGCATTAAAAAACAATAATTGTTTCAGTTATATAAAAAAAAAAAAAACCATTTAATTCTATTAGGCCTCTTAAAAAATATTTAAACAAAACAAATTTTATTCTTATATATTTTTGTACAAATATATTATTTATATTTGAACGTATATTTAGTATAAAAGTTGAAAATTATATTATTATATTTAAATAATATAATTGTAATTTTATATTTTAATATATAATAGGTATATACAAACAATATTCTTTAATATACATATACATACACATATAAAATGTACATATTATAAAATTTTTGTATTTTTTTTTTCTTCTTTATTTAAGAAATCCATTCATTTAATAATATGTAATATTATATATGTATGTACATATATTTTTAATACAAAATCTCTTTTTTTTAATTTCAATTAAAATTTTTTATCACTTTACTTTGCTATTTTACAAACAAAAAAAAATATCTTAGTTATATCAAGAAAAAAGGATTTGTTTAATCACAAAATTGTTGCACATTACGATAAAAGATTTTTTGAAATCGAATTATAGCTTTATTATTGATTCTTATTTTTAATATTAAAAAATAAAATTTAAAAATTTTAATTTTTTTTTTTGAATAAATTTTATTTTGTTTCACTGCCCTAGTTAGTATAAGGCCAACGGATAGAGAGCGTAACTTTCATGTTCCCTTTATAATTTTTAAAAAAATTTATTGAGTTTATATGAAGAAAAAAGAAATGTTCATTATCCTTTAAATATGATTAAGAAGTTCTTTGCATTTCAAAATACCTAAAAATATTTTCATAAAAATAAATTTTGGAGTTTTACTTTGATATTAGCAAAAAACAATTTGCTGAAAGAGGGAAGTTTTCATTCAAAACAAATTTTTCAAAAAAATTTATTTCTTAAAATTTATAGAAATTTCTGCTTTTATTGCAATTTTAAAGGGTACTGAGTTAGATTATGAAAAAATAAAAAATTCAAGATAAATTTTAAATTGAAAAATTTTAATAGGGTAAATTTACCAAAGTTTAAGCAAATTTTCTTTTTATTACAAAATTACTGAAAAAATTTTTAAATTAAAGAAAATATTGGTATTTTGTTGGAAATTGAATACAAAATGTATCCGAAAAATTAAAACTCCTGAAAAATTTCATATAATTTCATTGAAAATCATAGCATATCTACGTAGCTCTAAAGCATTGTTAAAAATTTTGTTTATGGTTAATGTTTAATTGATAATTTCTCTTATAATATACGAAAATAAAAATAAAAAAAATATTATGCCAATAAAAAAGATCTACATACTTTTTCAATAGTATGTAGTTTATATTTATACTAAAATGTAATGTAGTAGATTGTATTTACTAAAAAATAATTTCATTAGGAAAATAAATTGATAAAAAATATATGAATTATGTAATATCGAATTTGATGTGATTCAAGGAGTTCGGAAAAAATTTTCAATGCGACTCGATGGTGTTACATTAACCAGGTCAGTGTTTTGCTCATTTATTATAATCTATGAAAATCAATCGATCGACTGTAATGGAAAAGAACAATCAATCACCTGTAAAACAGGCTCCCAATGATAACTCTATGTTGTATGATTCCGAAATTATAAACATTTATTTAAATGCAGAAAAAGTCCGACATCTTTTTTTCAATAGACTGTAGCTCGAAAACAAGTATATTTGCATTCCCTACTTCCCTTGCAATTTTTTGCTAGAAATTGATCATCTCTGAAATTATTTGCAACCTTATGCGAAACACGCTGTATAATATACTTAAAATACTTAATAGTATATTATCGCAATTAGAGAAACTGTAATAGTATTTGATTTCAGAATTCTATTGTATTATTTAGGGAATTAACGGCAGTATTTGATCACTGATCTATTTTAAATTTTAGAAGGAAAATGGATGGAAATTTATGTGAAACAATTTTGATTAAATTTTCGATTACAATAATGAAAAGCCTCATTGCTTTTTTTTTGTTTTGTATTTGTTTTTTTTTTATACAAATAATTTAAAAATGCTTGATACACATTTTTGTATAAACTGTTCACTTGTTGATTTTATTATTTTATTCTGTTTTTATATTCTTTTACTTATTAACTAAATTTTGAGTAAATAATCAATTAAATTTTTTACTTTTAAATTTCAATTTCTTGTTTTTTTATATATTTTTTTTTTTTTTTTAGAAAAAAATCACAATTTTATTTTTATTTAAAAATTATTGTTATACCTAATTATTATTAAAAGTAGGTATGTATATGTTTTTATTAATTATACAATGTAAATATATTTCTACATAAACATATATATTTATATATATTATAATAATAATATAGATTAAAAATTAGGAACGATAATTTTGTCGAGTATTTATTCAAATTTAATTTAATTATAATTTATAATCAATAAATAAATATTTTAAAAATTTTTAATTTTGCATGCGTAATAATTCTTCATAAATAATAATTATTTAAAAAAAAATATATACCAGTGTATTTGAAACACAAAAAACCAATAATATTTTAATAAAAAAAAAAAAAAAAAAAAAAATAATAATTAAAAATGAAATAAAAATAATTTGTTCCTAAGTTATTTATATTTTTTAAGTATTCAACACTTTGGATATATACAAACATATACGCAAACATATATTAAGTGCTAGGTCTCTTTATTAATATTGGGGCTCTTCTTTTTGTGCTTTGTATATTAGCACTTTACATTTATATGAGTTGTATAACACTTTTTTAAAATTGATACAACCTAATTTATATTGCGTTGGAATCAGCAACCGTATATATTTCTTTTGCACTAAATAAAGTTTGTTGTCAATAAATCTGCATTAAATAAACTCATTAATCACTCTGTCAGTCTGTTTGTCCATCCGTGTGCCAATTTATAAGCTTTAACACCCATTGTGAAAGCTGATATTTTTTAAACTTTTAGTATAAGCTTATTTCTGTAGAAAAATATTTTTACCTATCTCCCCCTTGCCTCATCTTAAAGTTATAGTTGCCATAAGTCATAAAAATGCAGTTTTTTGAATGCGAATAGTATATTTGAACATTGCAATGAAAAAAATTTCCGTTAAAATTAACCGTTATCTAACATATATATATATATATATATTTTTTTCAAATTTTTGATATCTTTTTTCTTCTAACTAGAAGTCTAAAATTTTAGCAGCTTTTCGATACTAACAATACATAATAAGTTTTTCCAAATACTAATATTTGATACTAAACTGCAAGCTTTTCCAAATTGCTATAGAAACAAAAAACAAACGGTAATTGTAACACTATTAACCCATGAATTAGACTTACGGTTAATTGTTAATGCTTCTTGTTCCATCCTAAATATAGGCAATCGTTTTAAATATTTTTTTATACGAATAAAAGCTATTTAAGTAATGTAAGATGGCTTTTAAAAACAATATTTACAAATTATTCGAGGAAAAATTGCTACTTTATGAACCATTGTTTTGATTCTACTATATTTATCTTCTTTAATAAGCATTGTGATAAATCATGTAAAATAAAAAATGTGTGAAGCTTGAATTAAATCCGTTTCTGTGATTACTCAAAAATGCAGGTATACAAAACTTATTGACTTAATTGGTAGAATGCTAAATATATATTTGTACATGTGTGCGTATATGTATGTAAAATACTTTGTTTTTGTTTTTAATTATCTATTTGCTAAAATTCCTGTAGCAGGTGGAAGACTTTGCAAAGGCACACTATTTATGTTGATTGTTAATGAATTTGGAATATTATTATTATTATTATTATTACTTGGATCCGTAATAGACATGATATTATTACTATTGTTATTATTATTACTCGATGTTAATGTAATAGAGTCCATTTGTCGAGCCTTCGTTAGAGATCCAGAAGAATTACTTGTTGTTATTGAATTTATGTTATTATTATTATTAGTGTTATTATTATTATTGTTATTGCTATTGTTATTATTACTTAATGATTGAGAACTAGTAGTAATACGATTTGTATTTGAATTTTTTGAGTTTTTCACTATACCACCATTATTTTTTTGTGCTAAATGAGTTTGATAATGTTTTGCTAAATGAGCTTTCTGACGAAAACTTTTACCACATAATGTACATGAAAATGGCTTTTCACCCGTATGGGTACGTATATGTACATTGACTGAATATTTATCTTTGAAACCTTTTGAGCATATTGAGCAATAATGAAGAGATCTTTCCTTTCTTTGACCATTACATTGAGTAGGACTTGTTCTATTACTATTATTATTTGTATTAAGATTATGATTCAAATTATTATTTTTACTATTATTATTATTGTTATTATTATTACTAATATTATTATTGTTATTATTGTTATTATTATTTCCATTTGTTGGTGGGTTAATATTAAGATTTTTATCATTACAGTTACTATTATTATTACTTGTAATTATCGAAGAAGTGCGTTTATATTTTTTTATTTGATTTTTTGTTGATGATGTTGCGGTGGTTATTATATTAGTTGGTGATGTAATATCAGTATTCAAATTTGATTGTGAATTTTGTATACGAGGTAATAATGATGATTGTTGATGAATAATTTGTATTGGATTTGAATTACTCAATGATCCACCACTATCTATATTATTGTTACATGAATTTTGTGATATATTTGAAGAGGCAGCAGCTGCAGCTGCTGCAACTTCCATAATAATTTCAGTTGAATAATCATTAGCTGTAACGAATTGTTGAACTTCAGATGCAATTTTCTTAATTTTTTCGAAATCTTCGGTAAATGTAGGATCAAGTGATAAAAACATATCATCCAAAATTATTCCAGTTGATAATGAAGAATTGTTATGGTGATGATTTGATTCATTGATTTGATTATTAATATTAACAGTAGAATTAGTTGAACCAGCCGCAACTGATTGTGTCGGGCTTTCTTCAAAAATTGAATTCGCTAAAGTTGAATCAGCGAAAGGAAGTGAATCCTATAAAATAGAAATAAAATTAATTTTTAATAGAATTGAAATTAATTTTATTATTTTAAATCAAAAATTTTCTTATAATAATTTAATAATAATTTTTTACTAGTAATAGATTTTAATATATGACGAATTAAATTCAAATAAAATATAACAAACCGTTTCATCAGTAAATAGGACGTCTGTGAGATCTTCTTCTTTTATAGCACTCGGTGGTATTAATGAAATACCATTATGTACACCAAGCCCTTTTGAATAGCCTTTTCCCTGTAAAGCACTACGCAATAAAGACTCAGCGGAATTCTAAAATTATTACCCATGTTAATTTTGAAAATAAAATAAACTTTTTATACTTTAATACCTGCTCTGCAACACTATTGTTATCAATCATTTGCCAATCATTATTATTATTTTGAAAGTCAGTCATATTAGTATTTGAAGTTGTTGTCTGAATTGTAATAGATGGTAAGGAATTCAATAATTTTGTGCTACCAATTAAGGATGTATTATCATTATTATTATTATCATTATTACTATTATGATTATTATTATTATTAGAATGATTACTATTATTATTATTATTATTATTAATTTTTAAATTTATTAAATTTGAATTTTCTCTTATTTGAGATGTTTGATTAGTAGTAGTAGATAATGTTCTTTTTATATCTGTAATAATTTTACAATTATTATCATCATTATTATTACTGTTGCCATTACCGCTACCACAACCACTTGAACTAGCGTCAGTTGAACAAAATCCACTTTCTTCATATATATATTCTGATTTAATATATGGTGGAAATGTACCCAATAAACTATCTAAATCTAGTGCAGGTGCTAAATGAGCATCTGTAATAATAGTATCAGGACGTTTTAACCAAGGTTCGTTTCCATTTAATACTGTTAATGTATATACATGTCCATCAGAAGCATTTACATCAATATTTACATTATTTGAAGATAAATTTCTATCTGTTGTTGTATGTATTAGAGTATTAGTATCATTTGTATTACTATTATCATTATTAGTACAGCTGCTATTATTATTTCCTTTAATTTGAATATTTTCATTTAAATTATTAATTGTGCTATTTGAATTTGTTGTATTTAATGTTGGAGAAACATTTGTTGTTGATTCTGTTAATAATTGTTGATGGTCTTGCTGTTGTTGCTGCCAACAATATCTATCAATATCACCAAATATTTCAGATTCAAGACGATTTTCATCTGATTTTTCATTACTCCAAAACTATAATAATTAGAGAAAGAAAAAATTATAATTTATACTTCACAAATTAATATTTTTTAATATAATATTTTTATTGCTATTTCAAATATATTAACCAAATTTATTTCGCATCCCTACAAAAAAATATATTAAATCCATAAGAGTAAATTGCATGATAAATATGGTTGGTAAAAAGGCTGACTTTTTAACTTTATTTAACACGGTTTGTGCAATTCATATACTTTGAAATTTTAGGTTTCGGTTAACTTGAGGTAATTAATTCTTTACAAGAATAGTTTCGTATCCAATTAAATTTAATATGAAAATGCACTACAAGAGAAATAAATTATAACATCATACTGTCATTAACATACATGAAATCTCAAACTTGGTTTTAGGTCAACTAGTACTACATTTTACGTTAATAAAATAAAAATAAATAAAAAACATAATTGTTGTTTATGTACAAATCTAAATTAATTAAATATGATAATTAATTTGTTCGAAAATTATGAGTCATCTAACTCATCAGAGCTAATGTATAATTACCATACCATCATAATTACATTATTCAATTCCCTTGAAGGAGGAAAAACGTAAAATTAACAGGAAAAAATTCATTATTAATTAGAAATTAGGACATATTTAATGCATGTTAAAATTTAATATATATCTACATATACTAATATTCATAGATTCAACATGTACTTGGTATGTGTGTAAAAATAATTCATAATTATTTGATGACTTTCTTTTGGGTATAAAAAAAAAGGAATTTTTTAATATCATATTTTCTGGCATCAACAACGGAGCAAATATTAAAAATTCATTAGATGAAATTGCATTTTTTTTTGTTATAAAATTTATACACATACATATGTTATGTGTTTATGTGTGTAAGTATACATGAATAATGTGAAGAAAGAATAAACTTTCAATAATAATAATTTAAATTATTATAAAATAAATATATTTTTAAAATTTGAAAATTAATTTTTTAAATTTTCATAATTTCTTATTAATACTCGTATATTGAAAGAGATTATATAATAATATTCTATATACACATTGTCCTATATAATATGCAAGAACAATGAATTTGCAATTTTGTGATTTTTTCAAATGAATATAACAGAAAATTTAAAATTCTTAAATTATAATAGGAAATGGCACAATTCAAAAATATTTTTTTTCTACAATGAGTGTTAAGAACAAACTAAAATTTTCTACTTAATACCAATTTGACAAATTAAAGATGCTAAAACGTATTTTTCTCAAAATTTTAAAATATCATGAAATCGAGAATATTGTTCCTAATAGTCATTTCCGAGTGGAATATATTCTTCTATTTTTTAATTGTTAATATAAATCTTAGCTATATGTTGCACCTGCCTAATCCGTAATTCGAAACGGTTTAATTTTAATAGGTACCGTCCTTGGCTCAAAAGAAATAATTTCTTAAAAGTATGGTGTTTCTTAAAAGTATGGCTCTTTTCGTTTTTGACCAGAGTGCGGACAAAACGATAAGTACACATGTTTTAATCAATGCAGATTTTCACTCTGTGCAAGAATGTATATATATATTATACATATATTATCATATAGTAGACGAGTCCATACGAAAATGAATACACTCCTTATTTAGGTGTAACGTATATAAAAATATTGACATTGTCTATAAACTATAAAGTAATCCGAAGAACCGTTTCAAGATTGGTTTATTAAGAGCTATTCAGGTTATACAGCGGATTATATGTGTTGTTAACACCGTATTAATAAAATTTTGAAATCATTCGAAAAATCGTTATACGATAATATGTTTATATTGTATATAAAATATAAATATTAAAATAATTAAATAAGAAAATCTCTTATACCTGATCATATGATTGTAATGTTGATGTATTGGCACTATTATTTCCATTATTTGTTATTGATGTTCGATCAGTGCTATTATGTTCATTGACACCAATATTTATACCAATATCAGGAGCAGTTACAAAATCAAAAAAATCTGTTTTTGATAAATCTTCGGGTCGAAATGTTTCACTTAAATCCATATTATTTGAAGATACAAGTATTTCATCGGATCCAATCATTAAATGAATTTTAAATTTACTTTTTTATCTTTTATTTTCTTAAATTATTATAATTACGATATTTGAATTTTTTGTTTTTATATATTTATAATGATTTTTGTATTTCTCTTATACAGTATATACTTTTAAGTCGTTGTATAACATTAATTAAAATTATGTAAAAGTGTGTGCGTAATTTGATGAATGAATTTTTTTAATTTTCTTTCTGTGTTTATTTTTTTTTATGTATATAAATTATAAATTACTTAAGTATTATAAAAAATCCTTAAATAAATTATAGGAAATGGCAGTTTTGAGTAGCAAAATCTCTGTTCGATTAAAATTAATGAATTTTTATTCATTTTTTATTAGTTTTTTTTTATAGTTTTGCTTCAAAGCAAAAGAATTAAATTAAAAAAAAAAAATAGTACATAAAAAATCAAAACAAATAAACAGTTGCAATAAATATAGAACAAATAAAAAAAATATAAAATATGGTTATGTTGCGAGGAACATCACTGAAATTAAGTGATACATCTGAAAAAAGAAAAAGAAAAAATAAAAAAATATTATTATTTATTTTTATTTTAACTTAGAAAAAAGAGTTTTTTGTTATATAGGTTTTATTTTATAGTTAATATAGTTGGATTGCTAGTTTTTCACTTGATTTATTTACTTAAAATATAATACAAAATAGGTATGTGCACACAATGCGCTGTCAAATAATTGTTATATACTGTATAATCGTGATAATTCAAACAATAAATTAGAGATCCGAACTTTTCCGAATTCTCTAATTGTCGGAATCTATTCACAAAATTGATCGCTTTTAGTTGATGTTAGGCTATACAAATAAAGATTGACATTATATTACTATAGATTCTTATATCGTAAACTAATTTTATAATTTAAAGAAGAAAAAAGAGTTTATTTAAAAGAAAATTATTAATTCAGGCATTATTAACAGGTTTGGGGATGTTTAATATCGGGGTTCCTCAGTGTTCTACCGTTGGACCATTATTATTTCTTATATTCATTAACGACATCCATAAACTTCCTATGATAGGTGAATTATTCTTATATACAAATGATATAGTAACTTATTTTATCCGAGTAATGATCGTCTTGTTGTTAAGTCTAATGTGGATAGACTTGTTGTGATGTCTGAATTTTAATTGTGTTGTCTGAATTTTTTAAATAAATGAAAAATCGTAAAAATTGCAAATCGCGTAACGCTAATATTGCAGCTACCTAAATTAGATTAGATAAATATCTTATTAAAGTACTATAAGTGAAATAAAATTTTTAGGTGTATATTACTATTGATAGTAGTCTAAATTGGCACCTTCATTTCGTTAAAATTGAGGTGAAGTTGAATGTATTAAATGCAGTTATGTTTAAGTTTAAATATAAGTTACGGATTTTAATTAAGTTGAAAATTTTTTTTGCCTCATGTCACTTAATCTTGTCTTGCGGGACTCCTATATATGGGCATCATTTAGTTCAATTTCTAGAATTCAGATTACTCAGAATAAAATTCTCAAGAATATCCTGGGACATAAGATTCGTCATAATACTTGCGATATTTATTATTTTCGTGGGTTGTTAGAAATTAGAGTTATGCAACGTTATCAGCTAATATAGTTTGTGTCTATAAAATAATTAACAGTTTTGGTCATAGTAAATTAGATTTTGTTTGGAGATTCTGTCATAATTTTAACACTCATTCAGTCATTTCATTTGAATAAAATGATTTTTATTTGCGTTCGCGGAAGGTATAGGGTTTTAAGTTAAAAAATTGTGTATATATATACATATATAAGACCAAAAAGAGTCAACAAAGTCAAATTTAAAATTGATTTTTTTTTTTAATTTTTTTCTTCAAAGAATAAATTTCTAATACATTTTTTATTATGCCTAAGAAATTTTTTATTATAGGCACTGATTATATAAGAACTAATCTATTGTCCGAACTATCAAATGTACAATTTATCTGGACGATACTGTATTATTTATTCATATGTATTATGCAAGTATGTATATATATATATAACCGATTATCTTTTAAGATATATGCATGTTATTTTGTATATGTACATAAAAACTTGGTTTTTTTCGCTTTTTGAGAAAAAGCGTAGGCAAATCAAGAAGTTTAATAATAACTAGTATATAGAATAGAAATAATATATTATAAAGAAATATTTTAGCATTAATTTTTTTGAAAGCTGTTTATGTACATAATAACTTATAATAAATATAGTTTTATACTATACCCATATCTATATGATATATTCCTAGTTATGTTGATAAATTTTGTGTATGTTTAGATTTCGAATTAAGAATATTAAGGAGAAAAAGATACAATATGATGACAACGAGAAGACAAAATCATTAAAATTTATTGTTGACAATAGTAAAAATGTCATCTTAGAATTTGTTAACGTCATTTTTATTAAAAATTTTCTATATGCAATAAATGAATTTCTTTCAAAAAATTATTGTAAAGTAAATTTATAAATATCTTTAAACAAAAATAATCAAAAATTGATCTTATATAGAGCTTAGAATAAATTTAGAAGGCATATACATTTAATAAGATCTTTGTGTAGCTTAAAATTTAACTTTATTTCTGGAAACAAATTATTTATTTATTATTTAAAATACAAATGCATATATAGAGAATATTAGACTTAATGCATATTATATGGCCATATGGATTCTCAAATAATATATAAAACAAATAAAGTTGGGTCAAACCAATGGTTTGTATTGTAGCACTTTTCCTTTCAACAAATGAAAATTTTGCTTTTAAATACAGTCTATGTAGTCTATGTACCCATCACACTATTAAAATTATTTTCATTCATATACAAAACTATTTCTAGGGTTGCATATATTTAGGATGAATGATTTATGCAGTCTTTGAAATAAAGCAAAAATTAATATAAAGTGGGGTTAACATAATGCTCGATTTTAAGGTTTAATTTTGTGAGTTAAGAAAAATAATTATATTTTTTAATTTCATGGAATTTACCGTTAACTTTTTGCGTTAATAGAAATTTGAAAAAGCTTGCGGTTTCGGAAATATAAGGTGTCAAAAATTCAAATTTTACAAATTTCAAGAGGCGATAACTTGAGAGGGGGTGGAGATGGAAAAAAATTTTCTTCTAGCGAAATGAACTATTTGATAATGTCTAGAAGCTCCTAAAATTTCAAGCTTCTACAGGCTGTAGTTTGGAAAAAAAACGACATCAAAAATTTGCAAAAAAAGGATTTTAGATAACGGTAAATTTGAACGGCCATTTTGTTTTTCTAAAGTTCAAATATAGTATGCCGCGCTAGGGGAAGCAAGCCGCTGCTTTTCTGCGTTTGCAAAATTTCAAAAATGCTTATGGTTTCATTGCAACAAATAGTTAAAAAAGGCCATTTTTAGGGTTTTGGGGGGGTATAACTTCTAGAGGGGAGGAGATAGGTAAAAATTTTGTTCTACAGAAATAAGTTTCTAGTAAAGATCTATGTACATATAAAATTTCAGCTTTCTATCTTCAAGGGTGTAGAAGTTTTGTAAACAGACACACGGACAGACGGACGGACGGACGGACGGACGGACGGACGGACGGACGGACGGACAGAGTGAAACTAATAAGCACTTTTTTTCAAAAAATTTTTGGAAAAGTGCTAAAAATGAAACTGAAATATACATACATATATAATATATATTATATTACATAAGTAAATTAGAAAAAAAAATTTACACCAAAAACAATAATAGATGAGATATTAAAGAAATGAGTGATTCTATGAATTAAATGAAAACCCTAATAAAAAATTCATACAGGGAAAATAGAAATTCATATATATTATGTTGTATTATATGTATATTATGTAAATCTATGACGAATAGTAAACTCAATGACGTAAGAAACTGGTGTTCATGGTTATCTACAATATCGTGCATCAGCCCTATACTCCTCCCAGGAGTGAAGTAGGAATAAAAAAATATATATAAATCCCATAAAATCTTTGTCATTATATGTACATATAATTATTACTCTACCTCACATATTAACATATTACAAATTTTCAAAAACGCAATACTGCAAAAATATTATGAATATATATATGTTGGCAATATATTTTTGACAATTTTATAAAATCTAAACAGTTTACACGATTTATTTGCGCTACTAATAAACATTTAAATATATTGTTTATATAGGTAATTAAATAAACAAACTTCATTTGCAACAACATTGTCTATCAACACAAAATGTAGAGCAATTTACGATACGATATATTGTGTTTATGAATAGGCCTATTATACTGTGTAGCATTTCGTCAAAACATTTGACATTTATTTTAATTACTATATAAGAACTATATAATAAGGTTACAACTCACTCACACATTCATAAATTAATTGTGATCGATTTTAGACAAATAGATTCAAAATGTATACATAATTAAATACCAATGTAAATGAAAATAGGGTATAATAACACTTTCAAAAATGAGAAATTTCTAAACCATATTATGAAATTGTCAAATTTCATCATATATTTTTATTTCTTATTATATAAAATCATGTTTATTATTTTTTTTTTTAACAATTATTGCATTTTAGGCATATTCATATATAAATACATATTTTCACGTACGTATATATATATTATATTAATTTACCTGTCATAAACCTACATGAATACAATATATGAACTACTTAAAATTAATTCTACGAATTTTACATTTATAACTCAGTATACAAATTGAATTTAAACTAAAAATAAAAACTAAACTAAAATATAAAATAAAAATAAAAAGTTTTAAGAATCAAATTACTTAAGTTTTAGAGAGACTTGATTGAGAGATACAGAAGTTAACGCAATAACTTTCTTAAAACCAAAATCATTTTTAAATAGTACATTTCCAACAAATCTAGTAAAAATGTGCTTATTAGTTTTAATTTGTCTTTCAAACCGGTCGTATTTTTTCTTTAAGAGATTGGTTGTGGTTTATGATTT